AAAAAGAGAGATACAAGAAAAAGTTATGTAGCCACTACACGTTAATGACCATAAATTCGGATCTTGAGAATGAGGTGAACGAATTTCTTCGTTAGAGAATTTTACTATGTATTTATATTGCTGTTTCGGTATTGATTACAAATCCACGTGAGAATTAACAATATCGATATTAGACAATGTGGCCTACCATCATTGTTCACTCGAATGATTGGTTGATATTTAATAACGATAAATGAGAATACTAACGCGTTTCTAGTTTTTGTGCCTATCGTTATCATTATTTAATATCTTTACGCGCAATAAATGGTGAAACATTTACCATCCATCTATTTATACAAATGATTACAATTATATTTTTCTAAAAAACATTAACATTATCAACATATCTAAAGAATTGTGCTTACTAATATTATATTACTATAAAAATAAAAACAATTTGCTTTTTTTTGTTTTTTTGTTTTTTTTTTTTTTAATAAGGCATCATTAAAATAAATGTAACTAGTTTGTCTAAGTAATCTCCAATTTGTGATTCAGAACGAGGTTTAATGTTCGACGTCATGTTATGGCCGATTGATGTTAAACGATCTTTCGCAATCTTAGAGCCACCGGTAGTAATATTGATTTTATTTTCCTGAATTGGTGATTCTTGGCCCTTGATTGTTAGCTTCGAAGGATCGTAGATATTCAATCCCTTAATTTCAAAATCCAACTTGGTTTTGTTGCGCTGATCTCGATCGTAGTAATGATGGATAAGCGCAGGTTCAAAATCAGCTAAAAATGACATTTTTTTTTTTTTGCTTTTGGTTGTAGAAGATCAAGTTTAAAAGTAATGATTATAAGCCAAGATCAGCTTATATAGTTACCGTAAACTGGAAACTAGTATTCGCGTGATAGTAAAGTATATACGTAGTGCACATTAAATTCGATATATATATAGTTGCTACAAACCAAATTTTTTTTATAAAAAAAAAAATCATACAAAAGATTACACATTAGTTCGATTTTAACTAATATACTTGTAATGGGTTTTAACATTTTGTATTTTACTAAAAATTTTTCTTTACTGTAAATATAGTATTGAGGTTTTGTCCCCTATATACTGTATTAATTTATTTGTAATTTCTGCATACGTACGTACGTATAATACTCCTAATGGTAGATTGGGGTCTGTTTGAAGTAAAAAAAGTAAATTCAAGTATTTTATATAGCTCATATAGCAAAACTTCTCTAAGCAAATAACAAGGGGGCCTATATGAAAAATAAATCTTATATTTAAAGAGATATTGCCTTCAGAAAGTAAAAATCTTTAATTCGCGATTCGCAAGAAATATATGTCCATAATCTGAAGCCGGGTAAAATTTCTCAATTTCTGTCAAACTAACATTTTATATACTTCTAATAACAATTGTAGAGCCAATTTTCTTATTCTATTAGTAGTAAGGTTATCAAAATCAGCCCAGTGGATTACGAGATTTTTTTGCAGATTTGCAAAAAAATTCATATAAAAAATAAAAATAATATCTCTCAACTAATTAGCGTTAGATTAATTTGATGATCTTGTTACTATTATCGGTCAACAAATATGTCCCCTTAATCCTTGTGCAACTGTATCGATTAAGGGATTGACGATCATTTAACTATTGAAATTTATATATTTTTTACGAAAAAATCGTTTTTTTGAAAACCTTTTCCTATTTAAACATTCTTAAAATAAAGTATTTTGTTACATGTTATTAAACTAAATAGCGCTTAATATACTTTCAGTTTAACTGTTCCATTTTAAATGTTGTAACACTTCTGGTTCTTAAAGAATCTTCACTCAAAGTTACACAAACTCCAGCATTAACATAGCGTTTAAGTTTTCGTTGAACTTTGATTTTATTTTTTCTTAAAAATGCTAGTATGGCTTCAGAAGCAGACAATAATAAAAATTTTCTTAGTGATTTAATTAACAACTTCGAATATGTACCAGAAAATGATATAGAAGACATTGAAAGCATGGGATTAGCAAGCGAAAGTCTTATATCAGATGGAATTGAAACGGGAAGTATTGACAATAATTTAGATGTTGATGTAGAAATTAGTCCCTTTCTTTTTGACAAAATCAGTTTTGAAAGGGCACGGGCCTTGGTAGAAGAGGAGAAAACCAGCGATCTAATTTTTTTAAATGACATAGATAATGATGATATTGATGCGGATAGTAATGATACAACATCGTCAGAATTTGATTCAAATGAGAGTGAATACTTAATTGAAAACTTAGCATTAAAAAAAGGTACTAGCAAAATGTTAACACCATGTCCAATTATAGATATTGATAATGGCCGTATTCAATGCTGTTCAACTGAGTCATCAAGACGGCTTACTCAACTTGTTGGTTCATGGGAAATCGATGAAACAATTTTTCTTCAAGCGCGGAATGTGAACAAGCTGTCGATGATAGGTGTCTGCCAGGCTCATTTTAATTTTGATCAAAACCAGCTACATGCTCAAAGTGCTAAGCAAGAGCGATCAATTGAGAAGAGTTGGGTTTTTTGTCGACGTTGTTTGTTTTGTAATAAGTCCAAATATTTTTTTAGTAGAGATAAAACATGTGTGCAACATTCAAACCGTATATTTGGAAAAAACATTCAAATACCCTGTGTTGGGCTTATGGTATGTCCTATATTCGAAAAGAAAGTAGAACTAAAAACATTTAATAATGATCCAGAAACTGAATATAGGCCTCGGTATGTTTGTTCTGAATGCTTTGTTGCTCATGGAGGACATCTTTACGAGAAACAAGGTCGCGGAACCGAACCTTTCAAATGTGCAGATATGCATAGTAACGATACAAGTGAGGCACTTAAAATTTTAGGTCACTGGATTTTATATATAGCAGAGACCGCTGATGATGATAAAAAAAAAAATCTTTTAGTAAGTCTGGTTTCAGTTTTACAAACATTTTTTAATACAAAATCTTACAAAGAATCTGTAAGCCCTCCTAGTCTCTTTTTTGTTAAGGCGGCCTTAAGGTTGGGGCATGTTCATTTGAAAAAGATCGTTGAAAAAACATACACCATTACTACTGAAACAGCTGTTGATTTTGGAAAAGCACTAGGAGCTGCAACGTGGAGTGCGCGAAGTGATGTACAAAAAAATAAATTAAAGCTTGAGAGCCCTGTATCATTAGCGCAATATCAGGAAGGGTTTCCTCAGTTCTTATTAAATTTTTTTAACGGGTTTATAGATACATTGCAAAGAAAAAAACATGCGGTAGTGACAAAGAAAAGAAAGCAAAGGGGACTTCAATTAAAAGTTTTTGATGTAAGCCGTGTAACTAAGATAGTTGTATTCTTTATCTCTATGATTTTAAATATAGCATTCCCAGGAACAAACATATGGCTTACTCATATTATGAGTTCGCTATGTAGAAAGCCAAAATTGCACCACTGCCTATATAATATTCTATGCATTGCTAATGTGGTATCCCATACCCAACAACATGAAAGACTTTTAGAAAAAGTTCGCTTGCATGAAGCAAAACCGGAGGAAAGATTGTTACGAGGCACTAATATATGGAACCTTTTAGTTATCGATAATATAGATTTTTTTGAACAAACGTTTATGTATGGAAATATCTATGACGTGACTCGTAAAACAGCGCATATGACTTTGAGAATGGTATTCCAATTTGTTATGCCGGAACCAGTTAAACATTACAATCAAAATAACAATCATGA